GCTTCTTCTATCACTGCTACTAAGATGAATTCCTTTCTGTTGGAGAAATCACAGATTGGGTATTTCCAACGCTTGCAAGACATCCTTGAACTCAAAATCGTGTGTTTGTCTGTTGAACCGTTCAACCAGCTTATACCTCGTATCGTTCACATAAAATGATTGGGTGGTCTCCAGAAGCCATTTTGCCTCTAAGTCACTGAGTTTGCTGGGCATTACCACATCGCCACGGATGAGCACCATGTCTTTGCTTTCTGCAAATTCATTATAGTAAGTTACAGCGAAGTAGGGAGCAGCTTGAGTTCCCTTTGCCTTGTAATCTTCAAGACCAGTGAAAAGCATGTGTGGCGTCTGCACTGCAAGAAAATTTTGAATGAAAAATTGAGTTCATTTAGACACAATAAGGGGCATAATCCAATTTTTTAATTCTTATAGTCAGAAAAGTTTGTTCAGACTCTTTAGTTTGTACTCTAATGAGAAAATTCTCTACTGATTTGCAACATTGCACAATGCCCCTCATCCTGAGAGGTCCCATCAGCTGGCCTTTACCTGCTCTTTGACAAAATCAAAGAAGATCATATATAACTCTGACATATTAATGGCATAAACTAAGAAAAGCAAGTTTACCCCACATTTGAGCTTCTACACAAAATTTACACTGTTCAGTAGTAAATGCAAGATGTGCTAACTACAAAGAGTAGTACATACAGTCATAAAAGAAAGCGACTAGAGACCAAACCTTGAGCAAACATTGTGGTATAACCACCTCCTCTCCACAAGGGTATGACAAAATACCGGCTGCCAGGATAGACAAGTTTAAAGTTAATATAACAAAAAGAGGAAAGAAAACAACAGAAAACATCACGTAAACAGATTACCATTCTGCTGCTCTATGCTCCAGCAGGTGATATAGGTTTGCTTTCATGGATGCACCAATATGACCTCTTCCCAGGTGAAACTGATATAACACAACCCATCCCGAAAGTAAATAACACTAGACAATAATAAGTATGGTCTCACGAAGGAAGTAAATTCACTGAGTAACACACTAATGAAATGATACGCGAGACCATTCCTAAATCCACATGCAAAATAGCTAAAGATACAACTTTTCAGTTTAAATGCACAGTTCAGGCAAAAGATATTTAAAGGTATGAGAGACTGGCAATGCAATTTTCTACACATGGTGCTTATTCAATCTACTGTTCATAAGTATTTGCCTCAGTTTACAAA